TGTATCAGTCGAGGTATTTTGAGAAAGTTGAATTTTTTGGAAAAATCGACCTCTTACTCCCCCCTTATGAAACTTTTATAAGGGAGGTATGTAAGTAAGTAGAATAATTGGTTAACATATTGTCCCTTCCTCAAGAAACGCCTTGTATAGTGAAGGTATATAATAATACGGTCAATTAGCACTATTCAACAAGCAATTTTTTGTAACAAAAAACTGCAAGTCATTCATCGGGGGATATCATTCGTAGTATCTCTACGGCGTTTTATTTTTAATATGCAACCCCATTGCATATCCCTATGAGGAAGGGAGACTCCACGGGAGGTCGCCACGGTTGCAGAAGGCGTAAAAGCTAGATTCCTGCTGGTTGATTTATTTATTGTTTATTAAAAATATCAACGGGCTTGCTGCTATCGAGCCCCCAGGAGCCGTTTAGTAATTTGATTGTTGGTTCAATTACGCCGGCGGGAGTAATTGAGAGTTTTTTTTATTGGGGCTCGATCACAACGATAAATAATGGTTTATTTTTCACCAAACTTAAATTTACATTTATCGCCAATATGGAGATTTAATATGTTTACACTGTTTTCTGAACTTTTCGATGGAGTACAAATGCCCAGAAATATTAAGGGAAGAACTCGAACATGCAATTGAAAATTGAAAAACACAATTTTAACCGAAACCCTTTTGACTAAAGGTACACACAGTGTAAGCGTCCGTCGACATTATTAAAGCATCGCTTAATACATATTTGCTTGAGAAAATCTGGATTAATAAAAGTAGAACAAATACAAACGAAGTGGATCCACCTACTCAAGTAGTCTCCGCTTTGCAAAAGCGTTCCTATTCCCCTATAAGCTAATTAATTAAAATGCTATTAATAATAATCTTCATGTTAAAACTACAGCTTCCGTGCCGGCAATTTTTTTGCTTTAATAAGAAAAACCAACCCTTGGAGCGAGTTTTGCGGACGATGACTATGAATAATTAAAAAGGAGAGAGGGCAGACCTGTTTGCTTAGTTCGTTTAGCCAAACATCTCTCGAGGGTGGAAATTGAATTAGGGTAGTACAACCCTCAGTTAGTTATAGTAGATTGAGGATTTGCTGACATTAAAACGGAGAGATGTGAATGAATATTACTTATAATACCTTTGAAATTTTATTCAACCTGATTAAGCCAGTCAAAAGGTTTTATCTGATAGAGTCATTACTAGAGAGGCAAAATTACCCAATTGAGCACATTCGACAATATGTCTCCCTGCAAACAAAATAAGAGTTCGACTTTCTCAACTCTTTGATCAAGATTTTAAGTTTTTAAAACGATGGATGTTTTATTTTGCAATCTTTTTATGCTTCCTTCATTCATAGCGCGTTGAAAAGTCGCGGGTGGGTTTTGCTTAGGCATTCCAAACATCCATTGGGGAGGTTGAAAGCTGTTTTCTCAATTGATTTTTCTTCCATCTCAATGCGATGAAAACCGCTTGCTAAATCAAGGGCTCAATCAAGTGCTGATCTCGCCAAATTGGTCTAGGATGTCTGATATGTTCGGGATAGGATAGCGATCCTCTTTGCAAATTTGCCTCAATTTTCGGTAGTCTACTACGAAAATCCACGTTTTTTCCGGAATCATTCATCTTTTTTGGTACCATCCAAACAGGTGAAGACCAAGGGCTGCATGATGGGCTCATTATGCCCTTTTCAAGTATTTCTTCCTTGTTCGGGTATCTATAAGACTTTGTGTGTAAGGGAGCATCAACCATTGTCCCGATGAATGTTTTACCTTTGAGGTAAAAATGGGTCATTGATTTTCAGAAAAATCAAAATTAATTCCTG